CGAGGAAGCTTGAGGAGGAAAGGAAGAAAGCAGCAAATGAGGCAGCTGCGCAAAAGGTTGAGGAGCATGCAAAGGAAAAAAAAGACCAGATAGAATACGAACTTTCTGTGGCACTGCAGAAAGTGATTGAGGATGAGAAAGATAGGAAGCATGATTTGGAGCAGGCGGTGGAAGCAAGTAAACAAAATAGACCAAAGCAGGCTCTTGAGGAAATGGCTGTCAAGAAAGTGGATGACACGGACAAGGAAATAGGAGAGAAAACACCAGAGGAGATTGCAGCTGAGAAGAAACAAGAAGAACTGAGAATCAAGAAGCTTGCAGCCCATGCACGATACATGAGATATTCAAGATCAGTTCAGAGCACCGTACTCAGTTTGTTAATTATGATCGTGTAATCCATCTTCACACAACTTAGGCGTGAACGCTCCGTTGGAGATCCGCAAAATGGGGAAAGAAGCTTGTGAGAGCCACTTGGCTGAAGTGGCAAATCTACCAAGAAGCAATATATGGTCAAGTGACTTGTTGAATATGAGATAAATCAAATTTGCAAATGTCTAAGGCTCAAAAATGAACAGCATACTTTTCGAGGCATGGGCTGCTTGTAATGGTGAGTGGACCAAGAGCAAGTTTTATCAAAACATACTGCATCGACACAAGTCTACCAAAAGGGGATGCCGAAAGTGGCTTACTACACAGCAACTGGATAACTTGTTTGGGGTGGAAATAGCAGAGAAGATGCGACAGCGCAAGCTGTTGGATGCTGACCTTCGTCGACAAGAAGTTCGCGAACACCCAGATTTGCCGGGAGTGGAGGAGTGCCTAGTACTTTGAAGTGGGTAGAATGCATTATGTGACATATAGAGTTCCACACTAACACCTGACAGGAGGGCAATAATATGTCCGTCTGTGATGTGCCAGCCTATTTTTTACAACACCTTGCAACAGGAGGCCTTTCAGTACCTGACCCTCGTCGAGGATGGGGTCGAAGAGGAAGAGCAGGAAGAGTTTACCCAGCTGTACCGCTGCTTGGACGAGAGTTCATCATCAGAGAGTGATGGTGAGCGCACTGTTGTTGCAAAGAAGGGGTCAAAGAAGACAAAGAAGGAAAAGAAGTCGAAGCCGCGACCGAAAGAAAAAAAGACCAAGAATAAGAAGGCATTTCAAACCGCTCTATTTTTGGTGTCTGTTGTTGAACCTGTGGACTGCGGCTTTGGATCCTTAAATTTGTTCGATCGACAGGACAAGAAGACAGATGGTGGAGATCCCAACAAGGAGAAACAGGTAGATGAGAAAAAGCAACTGCTGAAAGATGCCAAGAAGGCTTTACGATAGGGTTCGATAGGTCTTACTTGTGAGATTTGTTGTGGTTTGCAGGGAGTGGCAGATGCCAGTGCCAAGATCAAGTGGATGCTTGAGCTGAAGCCGAATCTGAGCAACATGCCAACTGCTCAGTGTCTGTGTGAAGAGGTAGTGTGCTGGTAAACTGAGGGGGCCTAGTATTGCATTTGCAAAAATTGTTGAGGTCAGAGAAGTATGCAGCAAGTATCAGGGACGATGTGGAAAGCAAGCACCGAGAGTTGGAGGCAATTGAACAGCAAATATAATATGTAAATTGTTTTGCAAATGCTGTCAAATCCAGGCAAATCGTTCTACTCTACAATCCGCTGTGGACAACTCCCAGGCCATCCGTTGAGTGAGATGCTGGCAAATTTTGTGTCAATCCTGGCAGGTCACACGGGCCCTTATCGATGCCTGTGAGAAAGCCCGTGTGGAGCTCACAACCGCTTGTGAGCCTTTGAAAGTTAAGAAGCAAAAAAAGACAAAGACAGGGTGATCAGAATTTTGTGCTGCACAAAAATGTGTAGTGTATGTAGCCTGGCCAGATGTTGAAGAGGGACACAAGTGTCATCAAGTGTCTAGCCACTACGGCAGGTGAAGTCCTTGCTACTGAGCATGTATGGCGTTTTAAATGGCATATGCACATACATAATTGGTCTGTAGGTACAGCAATGTTTCCTGTCTTGCTGGTTGGAAGTGTGTAGAAGGTGGCTAGTCACTTGGGTACCTGCAGGGTGCCAACTTCTCACTGAGTTGGGGGGGGTGCAGGTATTTTCATTTTGTGCACTGGCTAGCTAAACAGCTAAGCTTGAAGTTTCGATGATGGCGTTTCGTGGATTGTGCTCAGCAAAGGAACTGCAAAGCATTTTTAATTGCTGTGCTGTGAACTTTGCTGCGAGGGAGTTCCAATTTCCAAACACTTCTTTGTGCAAGTGTGCAATCGACACCGTTAGCAACACCTGACTTTGGAACTTTTGCTGAGCTTATCTGCAGTTGGAGGTGCCAAGAGATCACACGATGGACCAGTACATCGAGATATTGTAGAAAAGATTGCTTCTGGTGTTGCCTGGTCAATCTTATGGGTGGCAAATTGGATGTGTGGCTTCGTGCAAGTTTAGACTCATCGTTGTCATTGATCCCATGCTCAAGGCTTGCAGTGTTCGGGCAGCAGTGAAATCAGCAAAAGCGGCTTTTGAGGAGACATACTTGCATGGATGCATTTGTAAAATTGTTGAATGCATGGCTGATTCCGTTCTATGCCGTGAGGAAGCTGGGCCAGTTTCCTCGGAATGGACCGCCAAAGTAGGTAGCTTCACAGGCTGGAACAATGTACGCGATTTCTACAAAGCAACGCCACTGCCTTGGGAATATAGGATTAATTTGCAAAGTTTTAAATTGCTTGGACCATTGTTTTCAGAAACACCATTTAGATCCAGTGCTTCAGTAATGGATCAGTATAGCTAAGGAACCAACTTTGGTCACAATCAAGGCCAAACAGCCAGATGACACAGTGGCCTCCATGGAGTTGCCCATACTTCTACCTCATCACATTCTAGAGCACCTACTGGCTTGTGGTTTGGAGATCAGTGACAATATTGTTAGGTCATTTTGGGAGCACCTTGACAGCGTTGGAGATGAATGGTCGTTGTCAACCCGCCAATATCGTGCAGCATGTGAATCTGAAATCTATCTGGCCAATAGGCCTATATGGGGATGAGGCATCGATGATGTTCCAAAACGCACCAAGCCACAAGATCTGTGGAGTGTTCATGAGCCTCTCCTTATTCCGACCAAAATGTGCAAGACTATCCAGATACCTGGTTTTCTCGATTGAAAGCTCCAAGGTGGTTGACTTTGTTTCATCACTGTACCCAGCCTACCAGGCAGTGGCTGACAGTCTTAACATCTTGACTGAACAGGGGATTTGCGGTCGCCGTTGTTTGCTATCTGAGATTCGGGGTGATCAGGCGTGGATCCGTCTATTGTTTAGACACCATGCCCACTGGGTGTCGCATGACGTTTGCTTTCGTTGCAAAGCCAAAGCTGATGGTTCGGCTCTCTGTTACACCAAGTATGACGACCCGAATGGCTGGCAATCAACGAGGAGAAATACAACAGATTTCATTTTGGAGGAGCTGCAAGAACCCCTTTGTCACTTTGCACTGTAATTTAAACACAAAGATCGGCAAAAATCGGTTCAGTCAAATTATGTGTTTTTGGGTGCATGCAGTGAAGTCTGGATTCACCTAGGTCCTTTGATCGATGTGCATTACTTCCACATCTCTTTGATCAAGGGATGCACGCTCCACATTTTAAATCTTGGCCTATTGGGAATCTCAAATGGCTCCACTTTGTACCTTGGATTCACAAAGGTTAAATCTCACCAAATCACCCAGGATTGGTAGATTCCTGTGATCTGAAAAGGGTCCAAAAAGCCAAGGGGAATGCTCCTACAAATGGGGGTCTTCGGCCCAATTGCTGCTGTTGACAGCCCAGAAGCTTACCACCGTGCTTTGGAGAATGCCTGGTCTTCGTTTTGCACTTGGAGGAAAACACACAAGATTAGCACATCGCAAAAAAGGTTTCGGTACCGTCACATCTTCAACGAAGAATATGGCATGTACATGAACTGCAAAGGATTCAACGCAAGGTGTGTGGCAGAATGGTTGTTGAACACGGTGACCGATGTTCGACATCGGTTGCCAATGGCTGGGGTAATGAGCGATGAGAGGCTTGTCATGACAGAAGCCTGTTTGAGACTCAGCCGCATAAACAAACACCAAACACGACGTATAAACGAGAATCTACATTGGATTTCCTTGCTCTTGAGACCCTTTTGTTTTCCTAGGAGGGGCATATGTAGGTATTATGGCCTCACTGAGCGAGCCTCCAGAACGTTGTGGCTTGGCTCCATCGACATGGCCCAAACATGCTGAGACTCCGGAGTGCTGGCCATGATCATGTGGGTTAGTGATGATTTTGTCATGGTATCCCAGGACCCCAGTGCAAGCAGCAAACATCGAACAGGCAGGGCGTGCATACTTGGAAGCCTTTCTGCGCCTGAATCATATGTCGATTCAGTGCCTGGGCCTTGGAAGCCCCTATATCAACTCCAAAGAAAAGAGCAAACCAGAACTCTGGAGGTTTACCCTTTGACTAGCTGCAAAAGCACTATGCAAATGGTGTGGAAGGGTTTGTCCCAACTGCCCCATGACTTTGCTTGATCTGAGTCTAGGTTCTTTGAGTTGTGAAACGTATGGCTGTGCTCAGGAAAGGGATCTTGGCTTGGGTCGCAGTTCCAAAACTACATGCACTTTGGTGTGCATGAATCGTGTTTGCCTTCAACCTGGACTCTTGATCTGTCTCCTGTCCCCTGTCTTTGAGGCTTTTATGCATGTCTTGCAGGACACAGTCCGTCGCAATCGCAACATAGTGGCAAGGAACAAACGCATACCAAAACCCCATGACTTAGTGGCTCAATCTCACATCATGACCGACCACATCAGGTACAAACCCAAGGATGGAACATACGTTCCTAGATGAAGACTTGATGGGGCAACTGAA